CTACCCCGGTAGCTATACAGCACACAGCACTTAGTTCACACAGAACCTAAAGATGTGGTCCACACAGGACGGTCACCATAAAAATAGCTACTACCTCTGCTAGTTCTTGCAGCCCTCACAAGAGGATTAACAGTACGTGCCTTTCACCATTGTTCCATAGTAGAAGCTACAATATATGTACAACAGACTTACTACCTATACATATATACTGAATTTCATTAAAAGGTAACATATACGTACAGAATGTCTTACTACCCATATGTATATACAATGACAATAGCGGCAAGACAAGTTAATACGCCATTTCTACCCATTTACTAAGTAGAGTATATTTGTATACAAATATAAAAGCACGGCACAAGCCGCCTTAATATTTAGGGTAAATCCATGTGTGCGGTTCTCTCAACCGTGACGCGTACACTTGAACTCTATGCCTATTACCATTATTCCCAGTTAGATAAGAAAATGGCCAATTGAATGGGGATTGTTTATAGGTAATATGTGGTTAAACAATATGTGTTAACAGGCTTATGTATCGCCTTGATATTATAAAGATAAACAGTACACATGCATCGTGCGCGTGAATGTAAACAATGTGCACCTGATATACAGGTATGGTCATATATACAATCAACAGGTAAAGTGATTAGAAATATTACAGATGAAAAACAACTATGTACATGTCGTTAAATAACAATGTTATAACAAATATAAAAACTCACCACAATCTGTAGTTTGTGCTTGCCTACACCTTCTCAATAGCGATTGAGCAAATCTACGTGTGGCTACTCATGGCTACCTGTTGATCTCTAATTGAAACCCGTAGACGGATGACCAAACTCCGGCTTAGTAAAATAATATTTCAATTACCCATGTTATCAATGAAATTAGGTTAACATTAACAAAAATATATATTAGTGATCGTGACACTTGTAAAATTTGATTACATTATGTTTTGATTATTTCATCTTCTCGCTGAACACAACAGTATGTTGAATTGATTGAAAATTTGATCAAAAGACCTTGAGATATTTTTGCGGAATTAGTTTTGAGCGGTGTATACATCCACAGTATAATTTGGTTAATATGATCTGGTGTTAAAAAATGCTGAAACCAAAGTAACACAAAATTAAGTCCTTTTTAACTGATAAATAAACAGACTGTTTTAGATGTCTTCTCAAATACAGAAGTTTATGAAATTATCAATTCACCATTTGGTGACTAACTTCTTTCTTTGTAATTGGAGTTGATGTTTACAAAGATATTGATGGTGTAATGGATAGTGCTGTTGCTTTTCATGAAGACAGCCAGGGTTTGATTCCCTGATCAGACATGAAAAGGTAGTGGGTCATGTTGGTTTTCTCCGGGTATGCCTGGTACATTAAGACACCCTGCACTCTTCCATCTGGGCCAACACTAGCGATTAACATAACCTGATATTTTTTTTTCCATAATTGTAAAATAAATAAAGTTTATATTAGGGTTGTCAAACCGGGCGGATTTTAGTAACTGGTTACCCGAAAAATCTTCCAACTGAATAACTGGTTAATCGGTCAGTTTGGTAATAAAAAAATAAACAACAACAAAAACATAGTATGTTTAGCTGATGTCCAATTCCTATTCCGTATTAATTAGCACGTTAGTTTACTCTCGTATTTCAAGCTCTCAACACCTAAACGTAAGAAATACAAACATGTAATATAACAGCAGCCAGATAATGAACCACTTCGTTCAGAAGAGATTGTTATACAAGTTCTTTCTACACTAACTCATATACGGTAATATTGTCCTTGTCAACCCTAGTGTATATACATATACGGTAATATTGTCCTTGTCAACCCTAGTGTATATACATATACGGTAATATTGTCCTTGTCAACCCTAGTGTATATACATATACGGTAATATTGTCCTTGTCAACCCTAGTGTATATACATATAAACCAACTCACCAGTTGGTGAACAACAAAGGAAGGAGTGTGAGCAGGATTTAAGAAGAGTTAACTTCTCAATAAGGAATTACTACTCAATAGATCTCTAGTTATTTGTGTCCCCCCCTTAACATAGGCTTGTAATCAGTCTAACATCATTGTCCATTACAGGTGAAATCTAGGTTATCCCTGACTTATAACTATACATGTTACAGATGGATGGGAGGAGGAGAGATTCCATCCCAGTCAGCTGGGATCAGCTGTGCTCGCCTCGTCCATGTCACCTGACCAGGGACTGTTGGTGTTTACTGAGCTACAGAAGGCCAGGCAGTGCTTTGTACTGGAGAATGAGCTCCACATTATCTACCTGGTATGTTTATAAAGTAAAAGTTGGAAAACTTAAATATTGCATGTGGTACTGATGTTTTTGCATAGGCAAAGCTGTATATTGTATTGAACAATATGCTGTTTTAATCATGCTTACAAATTGCTGCTCTATCAAATGTGATAAATGCAAAATTTCCCTGTTTTCCATTGCAAAAATATCCACTTTTATCATGACCTATGTTATAAGCAAGTTTAAATTGGTCAGGTGATTGAGTGTTTACCAAACCAGATATATGTAGTACTATTGAGTAAGAGGGTTTACCAAACCAGATATATGTAGTACTATTGGGTGATAGTGTTTACCAAACCAGATATATGTAGTACTATAGGGTGAGAGGGTTTACCAAACCAGATATATGTAGTACTATTGAGTGAGAGGGTTTACCAAACCAGATATATGTAGTACTATTGGGTGATAGTGTTTACCAAACCAGATATATGTAGTACTATAGGGTGAGAGTGTTTACCAAACCAGATATATGTAGTACTATTGGGTGATAGTGTTTACCAAACCAGATATATGTAGTACTATAGGGTGAGAGTGTTTACCAAACCAGATATATGTAGTACTATAGGGTGAGAGGGTTTACCAAACCAGATATATGTAGTACTATTGGATGAGAGTGTTTACCAAACCAGATATATGTAGTACTATAGGGTGAGAGTGTTTACCAAACCAGATATATGTAGTACTATAGGGTGAGAGGGTTTACCAAACCAGATATATGTAGTACTATTGGGTGATAGTGTTTACCAAACCAGATATATGTAGTACTATAGGGTGAGAGTGTTTACCAAACCAGATATATGTAGTACTATTGAGTGAGAGGGTTTACCAAACCAGATATATGTAGTACTATAGGGTGAGAGGGTTTACCAAACCAGATATATGTAGTACTATAGGGTGAGAGGGTTTACCAAACCAGATATATGTAGTACTATAGGGTGAGAGGGTTTACCAAACCAGATATATGTAGTACTATTGGGTGAGAGTGTTTACCAAACCAGATATATGTAGTACTATTGGGTGAGAGGTGAGATAGTAACATTGACAGCCTCAAGTATCAGTTGTCATTAATTTGTTTTCTGAAGGTTTAAATGCAAATATGCTAACCAGACTTGATTTAATAAGCTAAAACAAACACAGCTCTGATTTCTGATATGATTTGTTTGTCAGGTGACTCCGATCTACACATTGGACCTTGGAGATAAGATTGATTGGTACCAGTTTTACTGTATGTGGGAGAAACTCACCCCGGACATGAAGCGAGTTGCTGAGCTTGTTGGGGTCAGGGAGGGATTCCTGGCCCGGGCTGTCCAGGGACGTCTCCCTACGAAGACTGTGGCTCAGGCGCGGGCAGTGGCTGCCCACCGTCGGTTCTACACTACCCTCATCCTCCACGACCTTGTCCATGAGGTGCCGATCATCGAGGTGGCTCGTCACTACAACTGTAACAAGGGACAGTTACAGTCTCTTCAGCAGTCTGCCGCCACGTTCGCTGGTAATCTCAACACCAAAGTCGTATTTTTATATTTCTGATATTAACTGGTTCAAATAATATGTATTAAACCATTCTTCCTGGTTTTGTATTTGTAGAATGTTGTAACACTTATTAGAATTGGTGTTGTTTATCTATAGTAACTTTTCACCGTTGATGACCTTTCGAGTGGTTGACCGGTACCTGCTACAATCTCAAATAACCCACGTACGACGCCGACATGGTGTTGTCGTAATTCTAACATATGCTGCTGGTGTAAAATCGTGATCTGCGAGAATTTATTCATTGCAAAAATAATTACACTTTCCAAATGTCGATGTAATAAAGAGATTACCTTTTGTGTTATCATTTATTGTTCAAACTATCGTAACAGGAGGTTACATTTTCACTTCCCTCGTTTACGGCTGGTTTAACCCGATTTCATAACACGGCATCTGATTGGTCAATAGCAATGTACACATTATCAACACACATCTTGCATATATATTGTTTGCATATTGAGGTCATCCAATGAAATGCTTCGTTTCAAAGGTAAAAGGTTACACCGTGCGATAGCGGTACAGACAAACTCGCAGAAAACGATGTCACACTTGCAGCAAATAACTAAAAAAAATAAACTATAAAAAGATGTTACTAGCGAAAGAACAGTAGATATATCAAGATAAAGGTAATTTTTTACCAAGTCTTATGTTTACAATTGAATTTGATGCAGAATACCAGCCAAACACTTGTATGCCTACATCACTACTGCAGTAAAAAAATCATAATTACGATAGTACATACTGATCGTCATTTTGCTACTAACTATATGAAATGTAACTGCATACTGAAATGAAATACAAAGAATATATTTATTTCTATACTTATACTATATTTCAACTAGTTTAAAGAACAAGGTTAGTTACAAAATATCTTTATTTTACAATCTTCTTCGTAGAGCCACATCACTTAGGCATTTGACTAAGTTCACTTTCGGTTTTGAGGGCTGAAAAACATCAGAAAATATGTATTCTGTTTATGTCATGTTTCTGTTAATATCATGTTTTTCTCTGACAAATGGGAAGTGATATTAAGCGAAATCTACTCTATTACCATATACTATTATTACTAGATATAACAGTATGACTCGGATGTGTGGAACACTGATGAGACAAACATTTTCCCCCAACCCAACGTACTCTTTATAATTTCACTTTCACACCTCAGGCTTTTTCAAAACTTTTTCAGAATGTGTCAAACAAGATTGTAATTTCTGACATTTTCATAGAATGATATCAAATAAAAACCTTCAATGTACAAAATGTATAAAACAATTATTGGGAACAACCACATTATATTTAAACTACAATTCTGCACATTTGTACAGTCAAGTACATGCGTAAACATATGTATATATTTACTATTGCATGATAAATGTAGTAAGGCGAGCATTGCTGACATAGACCAGCATGTGTAACCCAGTTACCTTGAACACCTGTATAATTATTGAACACTACTGATATTCCAGCATGTGTTACCTAGTTACCTTGAACAGTGTATAATTATTGAACATTGCTGATATAGACCATCATGTGTTACCTAGTTACCTTGAACACCGGTATAACTATTGAACATTACTGATATAGACCAGCATGTGTAACCTAGTTACCTTGAACACCTGTATAATTATTGAACACTACTGATATAGACCATCATGTGTTACCTAGTTACCTTGAACACCGGTATAACTATTGAACACTTCTGATATAGACCAGCATATGTAACCCAGTTACCCTGAACACCTGTATAACTATTGAACACTACTGATATAGACCATCATGTGTTACCTAGTTTCCTTGAACAGTGTATAATTATTGAACATTACTGATATAGACCAGCATATGTAACCTAGTTACCTTGAACACCGGTATAACTATTGAACACTACTGATATAGACCATCATGTGTTACCTAGTTACCTTGAACACCGGTATAACTATTGAATGAACATTACTGATATAGACCAGCATATGTAACCTAGTTACCTTGAACACCGGTATAACTATTGAACACTACTGATATAGACCATCATGTGTTACCTAGTTACCTTGAACACCGGTATAACTATTGAAT